GAGGACGCGCATAGTTGGACCCCACAGCAAGTGTGAGGGCCAGCCACACCTGCGTGCGCAATAGATTGTACCTTATATAAAACATAATCGCATTCAAACGCCACTACGAATGTACAAATGGAAGTAGAATGCGTGCCGCATCCCAAAAAGGGATTGATCAACGGCAAATGCTTTATCCTTTATTCATCCTTCATTTGTTTATTGTTGCTCATAAAACATTTTTCAGCCACATGTTCGTGAAGGATCTACGACTTCTCAATAGTCGTCAGGCAATCGAAGACATCGCTACGTTTGTAGAAAAATGAACGAAAAGCATAAACTCAAACACCCAAAATGGATCGTCTTCGGCGGATCGTATGCTGGTCAGTACTTCTAATTTGTAACATTAAACGAAAAAAAGACCAAGAAAGAGAATCGCCAAGGCAAAGTTGAGAGGTAGAGAGACAACGGAGGGGTCCGGCAGGGGCAAGTGGCTCTGCTACACATGTTTCAGGATAGAACGCTGCTCTAATCCAACCAAACGTAGCGATCAGTCAATTTCTAAGAGTGTAGTGCAGGAAACCCGTACGATAAGCTGCGCCGTGCGATTTACTGTACACAGTACCGTATCCACCCTTAGTCTCATTCGTTGACGTTTGAGTGATAGACGGAAAAGCAGTTCATATGTGAATGGGTTTTCAGTAGTCCTTTGTCTTTCTGCCTAATTCATTTTCTGCAGTTAAAGTAATAATTTGTAATGCCGGCGAAGAAGCCGTCAAAATCAAAACAAAAGAAAATAAAATCTATCTTGGGTATTGAAATTTGGCATTTCGCAAATTGAGCACTTCTTCTGTACCATACGGGCTTGCTTTGGTGGAACACATCCACTATACAACATTTTGGCAATTTCAAAAAGAAAAATAATTGAGCAAATGTCAGATTTTGATTACATTTCATGAAATAAAACGAACTAGCCGTCAATCACCACTTTACGATAACGGTAGATTTTCGACTGTAAGGTTGTTCTGTATCAGAAACAGGGTATTCTGTCGACTGGTCGGTTTTCCTACTGAAACTTGGTTCTGCCAAGGTAAATCCAAAATGGATAACAGAATTAAAATTCCAGTAAATTTACTAGGAAGTCTTTCGCTGCTTTTCAGTAAAGCTCTTACTTCTCTGCCATTCGTGGTGCGTTAGAAAGTGTGGTTCTGCTGCATCACACCTCGAGCCCTTAGGTAGAGGTGGGTAGGGGGAGGGCAAGCCACATTAACAAAAAGATGTTGGTGGGCTGACCTGCAAAGATGCCGACGAGTATTTCTATGCTATCACTGATTGGTTGAATGAAGCAGACGCTTCATACAATCGTGTGGAAACGCTAGTTTCAAAGTCAGTAGGCCGTGGTAATGCATTAAAATTCAATCCCTATTTCATGTATACTATAAAGAGCTTCTGCGATACTGGATATGAATTCGAAGAACACTGAGCAATCACCGAAAAAAAAACCTTAATTTTCAACCTCTGACCAGATCAGACTTAACAAAGTTGGAAGACTCCGTAATTATTTAGGTTCTCTGGCCCTTTGGGCTCGACAGAAATATCCGGAACTGATTGCTGGAGCCGTTGGCAGTTCACCACTACTACAACCGAGGGTAGACTTTTGGGTGAGCAAAATTGACCATTAGGCGTACACGTCACAACAGATCTACAGTACCACGTCGTTCTAGTAGTGAATTTACGTTCGAAGCTCCTTATGTAGACATCTTCGGATCTTTGGTGCTGTATATTTTTTCGAGCGCACAAGCGACAAAAGACTAAATTCTTTGAATTTTAGAATCCACACAATTCGTTGAAAACGTATACCGTTCATATAGCGAAAAATGTGCCGAGAAATATTCGAATTGGATTCGCGCAGATGATCGACATGCTGGGCTCCAAAATCGGGCGCGACCAGTTATCCGAATTATTCAAGTTAGCAAACATTTCTATTCAATAAGAGCCCGAGTATTGCTAATAAATGCCATGAGCATTGACCTCCATTCTCGCAATCCAGATGCTATACCCGGTTAAGTTTGTCAGTCAGAACGGGCTATTCAAATGACAAAACTCTCCAGCGACCATTGACGCGACACTGTTGGACACTAATTGATCTGAGATGACATAACTCGTAGTTTGATATTTAGCTAAGCCACTTGGTTTGATACACTGTCACGGCCTCGCCCTCTTTTTAACCTCCTACCACCTTTCCCCGGATGGACTGCCTGCTGAACCGATTTATCATGCTTGGTGGCGGAACTCGCCCACGTCTGTGTGCCACGCCCACGCTAGCGAAATGCAAACCTTCCCTAATTCTTCTGACCACTCGTTTTTGCCACTTTTACTAAAACTTCGCGGAACGGTATGAGGATTGTCTGTAATAGCCTCAGCTCACTGTGCGGCGGCCCCGCATCACGTGCATGTAATCAGGGTGGTCCAACATTAGAGGACCGCGCTGCGCGCGCGGTTTCTGTGCACCATGTGATAGGGTAGCGTGTATTCTTCCTTTCGAAACTATACTTCATGCAGTTCTCAAAACTAGTGAAAGAGCGACATCTCTTCATGTCATTCCTCAAATTGAACTCATCTAAGGGCTCTGGCACGTTACAGTTACATCTAGCGGCAGTCTAACGTATCAGGAAAGCTCATTGGGCAACAGTTCAACTCTTCAATAAGTTTGGAACCACCACAGATGGAAAATTCGGAGACTCGAAAGTTACAGTTACCACCAGGACAATTATCAGATGCAGAAACTTGCTCTCCCCTTGTCGACTTTCGTACTCCCAAAATGAAAAAATTGATGTGAAAACCCAGCCAGGCACTCTAAAGACTCCACATCTATAGTGGATAGGAAGCCACTTGAGTACCATACTTGGGACGTTTTACTGGACGAGCACCCAAGAATAGAGCAAAAATTCTCTAAGGAGCTATTTCGAGTTTGTTGCTCTCGAAGAATTGTTACAATGGAACCCTCCACCTAACAGCTCTAGAATTTCTGTATTTTACACCCTGGAGACATGGGTAAATGAATGCCCCACAAAACGTTGATCCCTGAAGAAAGCAGAGCAGAAGGCCTGGAAACATTTTGACACGCCTCAGTTGCGTGCCACCGCACGCGCCACCCCCTTCGTCTGAAGGCTCGTGTAAACGCGGCAGGTGGCAGATCTCAATTCTATTCTGGAATTACTTTGAGATACTAGTTGCAACACTTCCCTGTAGTTTGTTTGCTCCATCAAGCTACTATGCGTTTTTAACGACACAATGTCTTGGTCCTCATAATTTTGGACCACCCTGTAAAGCTCAGAAAACAC